TAAAAAAAATGACTCCATATACCTCAATAAATACCTCACTTTCTTTAGTTGAAACAAGGTAAAAAATTTTATACCTCAAAAATACCTCTGTTGTTACAAGTGTAAGAAAATCAACTTGGTATACCTCAAAAATCACCTTATCAGTCTGGTTGATTGGAAGTGAATTTTAAGCAACCTCAAAACAAGCTGAAGTGTATATAAAACAACCTCGTACACCTTAATTAAAATCTTTACGAGGTATAATTTTCATTGCTGTTTTCTGTGCAACCTTAAGTATACCTCAAATCAACCTTAATACCTCAAAAATACCTCAATTCAACCTTAAATATACCTTAAATTTTCGTAAGGGATTCTTTGCAATTTGAGCGTCAATTACAGTAATCGATTACTAAAGCAATTAATTATAGATAAATCAACTACTTGCAATGATCATGATTACGAGCAATCACAGTAACAAATAATTATTATTTCTCATTACAAGCGGTTATGATTAATTATTATCACAACAAAAAATGATTACAGATAATCAGAATTACAAATTATCAAGCCCTGGGATTGCAAGTCATCGTGACTACTTATGTAATGATAAAGTAAGATTACAAGAAATCATAACTACAAGTTATCATGATCTAACAATTACAGGTAAAATACAAGTAATTGTGATATACACAGTCCAGTCACATTAATGTGACCACCACCTACCTTGGACGTCAACGTGAAATAAACATTCACAGAAAGCAGGTGGCAGCATATTACAGTAGAGTGTATATTAAGGATGTCCTAGGGCAGGGATGGCGAACCAATGGCACGCGTGCCATTTATGGCACCCGACACAATATTTTGGGCACGCCACCGATCACATTTGTTATTACTCGAATGGTATTACACTATGAAGCATATGTAACAATTAAATTAAAATTCACAAAAAACACGCAAAATAATAAACAATTATTAATGAAAAATTAACAATTAATGCTAAAAAATTACCAATTAATGCTAAAAAAAACAATTAATAACCCTATTAAACAAGCTAACAATAAATAAGTAGCAAAAAAATTAACAGTCCTGCTTAAACTAACACCTTACAACCTAATATAAGTTATTTGTCATCTAATCTGCAACAACAGAAGTCACACGGATGTTACTTTAAGTTGAATTACGCGTATAACTGAGACATTGCAAAATGTTTTTTTTTCAATGTAAATAAACAGTTTTGAGTTGATAGTATTTAGTATTATTATTTTCCCAATAATCACGAAGTCAAAGTTATTTGACGGCACGTCTATGACCTAATCAAACAGTTTTTTAGAGAAAATGGCACGTTAGTGTATAAAGGTTCGCCATCCCTGTCCTAGGGCATCGGAAAGCATTTCAAGCGTTGGCGTAATGCAAAAACGTAGCGATTTATCCGACGTCCAAAAGGGCATGATTGGCTTTCGGGCCAGGTGTGGATGCATTTCGGAAACGGCTAATTTTGTGAACTGTTCGCGTGCCACCGTGGTGAAAGTATACCGTGCGTGGTGAAATGGCACTATCCGAAATCGGCGGCTAGGCACATGCGGTGCACCATGGGCTATAGATGACAGAGGCGAAGGAAGGCTACGGATATGCGTTCGGGTGAATAGACGTGCAACTGTTGAGCAATTGACCGCCCAGTTGA